GTGCAGGGGCAGTGTGCCCCTTCAGGCAGGAAACTGGGCTCAAGAGGGAAACTTGGCCTAGGGAGCTGGACTTCCTGCTCAAGGCTTCTCAATGCTTCCTCCTTAGCCCTAGACTGAGGTTCCCCATTTCAGAGCCAGGAGTGATCCCTCCTCCAACTGTGCTCACATGTGACAGAGGACAAAGGGGCCAGTGCCAGGGAGTGCTCACAGGGGAATACAGTTTCATAAGGAAACTCAGGCCAACAGGCTCCATGCCTTCCTGCTCTGTGGTGTGACAACCCAGGAAAGCACATCTGGGCAGATCCCTGGCAGGCCTCACTCTTTGGGAACCCGAGAATCACCCAGTCCTCCTCACGTATCACCCCCATCTCCACATAGGACATCAGCTCCATCCCCAGCTCCAGGACAGCCCCACGGTGTCCTCCAGGGCCTCTACCTGTGCACTGCTTCAGGTCCTTCGGGTTGAGTTCAAAGCCAGGCTGGCACTTGCAGGTGTAGCTGCCCTGGGTGTAGTTGCAGATGCTGCGGCTTTTACATATTATAGGGTTCTGCTTGCATTCTTCCATGTCTGCAAGGGGAAGGAAAGGGTGATAGGGAACTATGGCTGTGGGCAGCTGCTAAGGCTGGGAGTCAGTCATATTTCCTGCCATAGAAACAACCAGAAGGCTCTCTGAATACTCCTCAGTGGGTGGGTGTATTTTCTTACTCACGTGGAGCCATTCTAGAGGTGAGGTGGTGACCTAGATGCTTTGTTATCTGGTGTGTCTAGAGTGGCCTGAGCCCTCCATGTCTGACAGCCGCTCTGCCTCCCCTCAGTTCCCAGGTGGCGCAGGCATATTGAGACACCTATGTGCCAGCCTGGGGTTTTGGACAAAGACCCACTGACACCACTGGGGAAGTGAGTGGAAGGGAAATGCTGCTTTCCAGTGAGGGCCATCTTGAGGGTCAGTGATGGCCTGTCTTACTTTCCCAGGATGCTGCTCACTGACTGAGTTCTCCTTGGAATTCAGGCGAATCTGCAGGTCAGTGCTCCTCCACGAGCTCTATTGAGACTCCAGCTCTGTGGAGATGGGCATGGACCCATCAGAGTCAGGACCCTCAATGAGCTTGCAGAAAGAGTTAGAGAGACAGGAGAAGATGCCAGCGAGGCCAGAACCACCTGGTCAGTGGGTACCAGGCTGAGATGGCTGGGGGCTGGCACCAGGCAGGCAGCCTTGGGTAACAAAGATGCTTTTCTTGATCGTCATAAAAAATCTCCTTGCTAGCAGGTTATAAAATCAACACACAAAAGTCAGAGGCTTTC